ATTAGTGTTGAAACTCAACAGAGGCTAGCCTCGGGATCAAGCTATTTCGGTAAACCGAAATGACCCATCGGACGACCGAAATGGACCAATTTTCTGCTAAAAACATGTTTTCAAGGCTTGGTTGTATCGGTAGACCGAAATGAACCATCGGTCGACCGAAATAATCCATTGGTCGACCGAAATGGCCTTGAACAGTGAAAATGGCTACTGGAAATGCATGTTTTGAAGTTCAATCAAAAACCAAAAGACTTCAATCGACCGAAATGCCATTTCGGTTGACCAAAAAAAAGACTCGAGAAAGTGCAAAAATTTCATGTTATGCACTTGAGGCTGAAAGTCTACTTGGAATCCCCCATGGCATGTTCAATTCACATAATATGCTAGTGTGTGATGGTGTGAACATGCACGCAAGTGTAATATGGATATTTAAACAGCTACAATGGCATACGGTCTCATTACATTCCATTTACAAGATTTGACATGCCAAACCTCTAAAGTTGGGAAAATTACATTTTTAACGCAAAACATGAAGTTTAAATACCTACACTTGAACTTTAAAGGTTGTGGCTCTTGGCTTCATGTCATACATATTAAATAGATCCCAATTAGTGTATTTAAGTACACTTTACATGCATTAAGGCAAAAAGAGTATGTTGAATCTAACTAAGTGTTACAGCATCATAAGAAAAACTTAAACATGCTAATACTTGCATGTGAACAAGAATGCTTTAAATGGAGTTTCAAATCTCCAAACCACCAAAGGCATGTACAAATCTCTGAGTCTTAAATCCTGTACCTGAAAAATGTTCCCACTACGTGGGTGAGTAACATAAAGCTACTCGTAGGAGATGAGCATGCATCGACCTAGCACTTTACAAAATTATCACCTTAAGGTGAAACATGTCAAAGGGGCTCATGCCACCTAACGTCTATGTCACAATGAGACTCAGGGAGCATCATAAGCTATCCTAGAGCATAAGCAATAAGAATCATGATACATATACATGTATGAAACGAATAGAGATTGGGATAATCCAAAGAACACGACAAAAAGGATGCTTGAATACGAGTTAACAAGAATTACATTATTAATGCAATTTAACATGATTGGTACACTCCAATTAACATGAAACGAAGGATATACGAATATGAGTTCATAATGATTACATTATCAATGCAATTAACATAGTTGGTACACTCCAATTAACATAGTAAGAGTTATACACGAAGTCAATAGTAAAGCATAATGTCTATGCAATTAACACGATTTGTGCATTCTACACAACACGACAAGTATTATACTCGAATACAAGTTAACAAGAATTACATTATCAATGTAATTAACATGATTGGACTATACCAATTAACATGACAAGAAGTATACTTGAAACCACGAATAAGGCATAATATCTATGCAAATACAAGATTGGAGTATTTCACATAACACGACAAGGTTTAAATCTTCAAGGAATAGTAACTTGAAATTTAAAGAGTGAAATCAACTAATGTGGAAACTTGATATCGCCCGGATTAAAACCGTACTCTTGAGATCACTTTAGGGCTACTAACCCATGGGTACCTTTCTCCTAGTGCGCACTATAGTGTATGAGGACATTCCCCCGTACTAGAACTAAGTCTTAGCCATGTCAATTCTTGATTGATATCCCAAGTCCCAAAATCAACAAGTTGTGCAACCAAGATAGTATCAATATACCAGAAATGCATTAACCACGTTTCATACACAACCAAGATTTTGGAACACACAAGTCATGCCCTAAGTTCGTCAACTATAATGGCATGTGAAATGTCATGAAATCATAGTATGAATCTATATAGATTAGAACCAAGATATATAGCACATGTAATCCATTGAAGTAAATATACCACAAGTATAAGATACATGATTCATTAAGTACATTAATGAAACCTAGATACAAGGAGTCACGATGCTTGATAAAAGATACAAGTTTATGAAATACAAGTCCACTTCATAAGTTCAACAAGAATTCAACATCAATGCATGATTAACACGATGGAAGCATATAAAGAAATTTAATCTACTTAAAAGATTAAATTAACAAGATTACAAGGCAAGTCCAATGTTAAGTTACAAGTTCATTCTAAGCATGATACAACCATGTGAGTTAAATTCCATACAAAGGAATTAAATGAATATAAGTTTCAAAACTTATCCGATTATTCTCGAATTGATACACGTGAAGGAACTTGTCAAGGAAATCATGGAAAACAAGTTACACACTTAGTCAAGTTCAAGGAACCATTGAATGGATTTTAATTAATCCTTTTAATTAAAATCTCTAAATTTTGAAATATATTTAAATGATCTCAATGTAATGTATGTTGTACAATATGTCAAGACTTGATTTAAGAGCATGTTACAAGTGAATTACATGTAAGATACAACCATAAGTATTAAACTTTAATACTAGAAAAAAAAAAAAAAATGATAGATTTCAAAACCTAATCAAATATTCTAAATCAAATATATGTGAAACCACATAGCATGCGCATCATGAATATCAAGTCGGAATTCCAATGGAGTGGATAGTACACTCGGAATAAATTAATTAATCAAATTAATTAAATATTACTAGATTTCAAAACATCTCCGATTACTCTCAAAATTACCTATGTTGAAGAGTGAATTAAAGCTTAAGATAATATACTAACACACATTGATTTCAAGCTAATTAAGGCCATATGAATTAATCTTTCACTAATGATAAATATTAAATAAAAACTTTAATACTTATTCAAATGTTCCAAATTTAATACATGACAATGAGCATATCAAGGGGTAATATAATATCATGTTACATGTTTAAACCAAGTCATGAGCAACCGAGAAAATCAGATCCCGTACAAAAAAAATAAATAATAAAATATCTAGATTTCATATTTAAGCATGTAATCAAGTTGTATAAGCATCAATATCATGCTATATAACAAGAATTAAACCTATAACACCCCCTACCTCAATTTGAGATGAAAACCTCAAAGGCCCACCGAAATAAAAGTGCCCCGAATCCGATGATACTGAGAGGTTTTGTCGGGGACTACACCAGGAACAAGAATCCTCAAGAAGCCCCATAAAAATCATAACTTGACTTCAAACCCGAACTCAAAATTTGGTCAGAAACGGGTTCTAATAAGGGCAAAACGTGCGCGTCATCAAGGCGAGCATTAAATACTAAGGTACTACTATGTTTTACGCGAGGGAAGTGGCCGGAAAAGAAGAAAGAAGACTGGCAGCCCCTTGGCAGCCATGGCTGCCGGCCAAGAGAGAGGAGAGAGAGAGAAAAAAAAATCTGATATTTTCTCTTCAAGTCCCCTATTTATAGAAAATCTCAAAAAATGCTCCGAAAGGGCTCTGCCGGGTCTGGAAAAAGTGGAATTTGAGCAGACGCACTCAAATGGCAAAACTCTGTGAACAAAAAAGATTCACCATGAGAAAATATGAACAACGGAAGAAACGGCGTCGAAAACCGAGTCCCGAGCAGAGAGATATGCCTCGAACAAGTTCGGCGGCAACTGGATCCAGAAATTCTGAAACTGGAGAAAAAAAATGACCAGAATGAAATTCCATGAGTACACGACTCGACGAAATGTGAAAATGAATCCCGTACGAGTATCCAGGCTCCGTACAAAATATTTTACAATAACTTTCGTTAATTGCACAATGACTCCTACAAAAAGGGTTAACTGCAAAACTGCCCCAGAATGAAAATATCTTCCAAAAGATATTTTCTTAGATACCCCTGAAATAAAATATCTTCAAAAGATATTTATGAAAAACACCCCAAGAAGAGAAAATAATTCTAAAGAACTATGCATCCACGCCCCTATGGACACCTGGAGCAATCAGAGTACTTTCTTGAAAAAGTAAAGATACGTATTTCATGGAAACCACTCACGATCAAGATATGTGAAGTCAAAAACTAACTCCGAACACGAAAAGTGAGGTTGTGCCAAAAACTGGCAAACGGGGATAAGACAGAATAAGGAAAAGGACGAAATAGTGCATAGTGTCGAAAAACGAAAAAAATGTGGAAATGACTCAGTCTTCAAAGGAAGTTGTCAAGTCATGGAAAAGTGTCTCAGAAACCATTCATGAGCACTCGAGATGACACTAAGCGACGAGAAACTGAACTCATAAAAGGAAATTAAACGAAAAAAATTCATTCGTAAAATTTCAGGAAAAAGAAAGGAAGGAAAATTTCTGGGTAATGACACTTCGCTGCCACAAATTTCCAGCGCAATTGATCCCTACCTTCATAAACACATGGCAGATCGCTGCCGGAATCAATGGGGTCACTGGAATCCTTAGAGCCTATAGTTGCCGATGAGGTGAGTGCGACGACTGTGGCAGTAGTGAATAAGTCAGGGTTGTGGTGTTGATTTTATTGTGGGTAATGAGTTAATGGTGGTGGTTGTGAGGGTGGAGATGGGGATGGTGGTGGTATCGGTGCTAGATCATGCCGGAATATGCAGGGGTGGTTGTTGGGGTGGTGGCGGCTTGGGGGTGGGGATGATGGTGGTTGTGGGGGCGGGTATGTGGGTATGTGTTGGTGATTGTGGAGTTTGGTATGGTGGCGGCGCCATAATTTGGTTGTAGAATTGATTGGGTACTGAGGGTCATTTGGTCATTTAATTATTTTGATATTTTATAATTAAAATTAATAAAAATGGTGAAGGGTAATGTTAACTTTACATATGTTTTAAGGCTCTATTTGACTTGTAAATCTCATCAGGGGTGTCATTATTCCAAAATAAAATAAATTGTATTTATGTCTCCTTTTAACAAACCTCATAAGATATATTTTATCCTAAGTATTACGAATAATATATTTGGTACTAAACCTTTTCAAAATGATAAGCTGTCAATTCAAGCCTTATCATGAATACTAAAATAAGTCGGTCGTAATATGGTGTAGCTTATTTTATCAACATTGAATGTATGTGTGTGTATATATACACACACACACATATAAAAAAAAAAATAAAATAAAAAAAAAATAAAAATGAGGGCATAAATGGAATAATTCATTATTACAGTGCTCATTTAAAAAAAAAAAATTAAATACAAACACCTCATATTTTACTTTCTTAGAGAGATAAGTATAGGATTATTATATTATTATTATTATTTTTCCCTCTCATCAGACTTTTTCTTCAGCCAAGCACCGAACACCGCTCAGTTTGAACTTTGAACCAAACAGCTACATTTACATGTATGAAATGAATATATATCTATATATGGCGCTTGTTATTTTCAATTCGGTTTACGATTTTCATTTCAATTTTCATTTTTGTGTATATTTATATACATATATCATCATGTTCTTGCTCGTTTTTTAGTCTTGTTAGCTCATTCATGCCATGCGTTACATTGTTTGTTGTGATTTTGAATTAGGGTTTATGCTTTGGTTTGATTTGAAAAAGGACTTGTTGTAATGGCGAAAGCGAGTCCAAACGACGGAGAATTGTCGCCTGAAATCGGTATTCCGACCGGGTTGAATCGGATTAAGACTCGTCGACTGCGGTCGAAGGATTCGAATCTTGATGAGACCGACAAGTTGATTGAGTTTCAGAGTCATGGAGCTTTGAGACCTCATCTGAAGCAGAAGCAGAGGTCGTTAGGTCAAGGGCATGTGAAGATCAAGGGTTCCAAAGAAGGTTTGCGTCTTGGTCTTGATGGTTATATATATTTGAGCAAACTTGGTTTTCTTGGTGCACATTTAAGGGCTCTGTTTGGTTGTTGGAATCATAATTGTAAAGCATAATTGTAAAGGTTTATCACGTTATTTGTTTACTTGTCACGGATTAATTATTGTTGTTTGTCATGTTAAACTTTAGTTTTTATGTTCATCTGAATAGTCAGTTTGGAGTGGGAAGTCTAGATTGTAAAATGTTTATATATATATGTGTGTGTTTGTGTGTGTGTGTGAGGGATTAACGATAAAGTTCTGTGACATGCACAAGATTTTGCCTGTGTGATAATCTTTTCGACCAAGTATCTAATTCTGTTTTGAAGAATTGTTTTGTTCTTTTGTTTTTTATTATTTATTTATTTTTATTTTTTATCTCTTCATATATATATATATATATATTATAGTTTCCCATTCCCCAACTTTTTAAATTTAGGGAGAGTGATTGGTGCTGCTCCAAATGGGGCAAGGGTCCTGGGGTGACCATAGGCTCTTGGATTTTGGTTGATCATGATGGAATGATACTTACCAGGTCATTAGAACCGGAAAGTGGTGAATAATGGATCTCAAATTCTTATTTAATTGTCACCTTACTTCTTTTCCTCAATCATAAGGGCAAAAGAAAGGTAGAACTGGGGGTTAAACTTAGTTTTGAGCTCGAATTTACATTTAACTAGGGTCAAATTTAACTATGGGGTTGATACGAGATGGTAATAGAAGCAGCTTTCATATCATCATATGCACAGAGTACAGACTGATGAAAGACGTAACAAGTTCTGATTATTTTCTAAATAGGAAGTGTAACAGGCGGCACTTAAGTTTGAGACTTCACTTACAGATTCCTCATCCAATGTGGATTTGGATTTATTGTCTTTACTTTAAATGATTGTACGGCTTTAGCTTATCCATTTCTTAAAAGTATTTCTTTATGACGTGGACATTTGAATAACTTAACAAGACTCTAGATGTATCGGGCTTATCAGTTGTATTCTCCTTAGAAAGGCTTTAACATTTGATGCCATTGTTCTTTCTGATCAAATTTATATGAACCCTCAAAGCAATGAAATTCTTTTTAAATACTTGAAGTTTGCATGAACAGTTTAAAGTTGAAAAAAATTGCTAAAGAGACAAAAATTGAAATAGCTTAAGTTTGAAGTGAAATCATAAGTATTCTTTTTCAACTGCTTTTATGAATTTGTGGCATTTATGTTTATGTAGACACTGATGTAAGGATACTTTACCTTTTAATATGGACAATCATGTTAAATACCTCATGGTTTATTCCCTATGTTTGTTGTGACAAAGCATACCTGATCAATTATTAGGACAGGAAACAAAGAGAATTTTGAAAATTTCTGAATTCATTTGTGTAGTAGGATTCCGTAAAGGGAAGAAGATAGCCCGGTGGCTCACGTCACATCTTGTTAAAGATTCCAATCAAGCTTTCAATGATATTCCTCCAAACACTCAGGTAAGGTTTGGTTAAACGGGCATCTGATGGTGTTACCAAGTTTTTCATGTATTTATTTTTATGGTTTGAACTTTCTTGCAAGTAATAATCTATCTGCGACACTAATTTGACAGTACAGTGAGTCAGAAGTCAAGGAACTTGGCGAGGATGGTCCTACAAGAACTAAACTACACAAGGTGGGAAATAATTTAACCGGAAAACAATCTTCACCAGACACTACATGCTCTAGTAAAGTGCCAAAGGTTCTAAAAAGTTATTCGCATGAACTAGGACCAAGGGGTGGTATTCGACCTGTTCATCCCCGGCCTCACAGTTATAATGACTTGAAGGTAACACTCAAATTTTTACTGGGTCATTTGCTAGTCGCATCCATTAGTGGGAAAATAAAAGGTTTGTAATGTTCTGTAGAATCAGAGTTAGTTGGTCATTCTTTGAATTAAGTTCTTACGCATAATTTAAACAAAGAAGGATGCATAAAAGAGGAGCAGGATCCTTTTTGCGCATCTTTAAATTGCTTCCAAAACTGGTACATTGTAGAAGTTATGAAGCACTTTTGCATTGATGTCTGCATAGAGATATTCAACAATTGGTCAAATCACCAAGTCTCTTTATTCCCTTTTCAGGTTATCAGCACTTTTTGATTAGTGCAGGGTCTGTTATTTTTAAACATTCTATTTAGTACAGTAAAAATTATGTTCTACTGTCTTGTTGTTGCTCCCCGTGTTCATCATTGAAGTCTGGAAATTAATAACTTTTTGACCCTTGAGCCACGAAGTAGTTGGGAGTATAAAGGGTAATTAGGTTGAACAGTTAAAGCCTTAGAATTTATAGGCGTATTATAAATGATGATCCCTCTAACCTTTTCAATCTTCGACCGGGTTGGGGAGACTGAATCTTGTTGGCAACCTTATGGTTCTTTGGTCTCTATACCTATGTCAATGATGTCTACATAGAGATATTCAACAATTGGTCAAGTCACCAAGTCTCCTTATTCCATTTTCAGGTTATCGGCACTTTGTGATAGGTGTCCTTTGTTTTTAAACATTCTTCCTAGAATAGTAAAAATTACATTATTTCTTGTTGCTCCCTGTGTTCATCATTGATGTCTGGAAACTAACAACGTTTGTCCCTCGAGCCACATAAAGCAGTAGGAGTATATATGGAAAGTAGTTTGAACCATTAAAGCCTTGGAATTTATAGGCGTATTATAAATGACGATCCTCTAACCTTTTCAATCTTCAACCAGGTTGGAGAGACTGAATTTTGTGGGCAACCTTTATGGTTGTTAGGTTACTATACCTACGTCAATGATGCTCTCTGTTTCAGCAAAGCAGGACAATTATTTTCTCCAAGTTTGCAAGCTGATTAAACTAGTCTCCACTGTTTTCTTCTTTTTGGCTTCCAATATATAATTTTTCTCTGCGTAAGTTATGATTATTGAAAATTTAATTTCGATTAGATGGAAATTTTTTTATTTTTTTTCTTTATTTTGCTTCAAAGTACTAGCTGATAAATTACCACTCAGTTTACAGAGCTTAACATTTATACTGTTTCCTTCACTGATCAATGCCTTCTATTACAATTTATCATAAAAGTTTTTTAAAAAAAGTTACTCTTTTGCTGTTTATTATATCTTCTGTGTTGTTTGTTCCATTGATTCTGGTCCTCTGATATGCATTTCCTTATCATGACGTGATTGCAAGAATTCTGATTTGAACAAGTTAATAGCTTGATAAGTAAAAAGCTGGAATATATTTTTTTGTGATGCCTATCATATAGCACGGAGGAACATAAGAAAGTTCTGCATTAAGTCCAGGACTACATCTATGACCCTAGCAATGCGTCAAGGATACTACCAATCTAGCATTCCTTTACCCAGTTGGACATGCAATCATGCACTTTTGTTTGACACTGTTTTGGGTACTGATTATTGCAATCCACTATGTTTAAGGTTTATTATATTTGTCACCTTTGTCCATTTTGGAAATGAAAACCAGTAGTGTTTTCCTTATATAGCCTTCTAGAGATGTTCTGATTGTCCTGTATAGAAAATAGAGGATGAAATGCTTTGATTGATACCAACATTTGTGCAATGATGGAAATCTTATATTATTGTGGCTGGACATGATAAGAAATGATATCAACAGAATTTTCATTTCCCAAGCTATGTTAGAGCTTATTCTAAGATCTCAGCTAAATTCAGCAGGAAGCAGACAGGATCATTCAATTAAAGATTTAAGTAGACAAGATTTTAAGTCAGAGATTTCAAGTGTTGAAAGTGCCATGAATGTCCTTAATTGTCTTGCAGGCTTATGCTCCAATTATATTCTTATCCACTAGCCAATAGTCACAGACTAGGTTTACCTAGCAGGCTAGTCCCCTGTGCACGGTCTGGCATCATTGTATAAACTTCAGAATTTTAGATTGAGACTTGATGAATGGTATGGTGTTTATAAGTAGAAGAGGAAAGGAAAACGAGAAACCTAACTACAAGGTCTTTATCAAAGAATAATCACATTTAGAGAAGTCCCTTGACATGGGTCATATGCATAATGCAAATAACGTTGAGATCATAGTTGTTGAAGCCGCGCCTATGCTCTAGAAAAGCCTCAGGCTTGTCAAGGCTCAGCTGCAACACCTTAACCTATTTCAGGCCATGCCCCTTCAGTCAGGCTCCCATAAAGCCCTTAAGCTCCCACTTGTTAGCAGGCTCCAGGCTCAAAAAAATCTTGCCTCTTATTTCAATTATCCATTCATATTGTTTTCTTTTTTTCAATGACCATTAATTAAAATTATCTACATCACATCATGGTCATATTCGATAAATCTGATTGTTTATTCTTATCATATATTTTGACGAAATTCTTGAGTTTATGCTTGACCACTTGCATCATTTGTGTCTAGTGAATGATTTTGAATATTTATGATAATATAATATATGTTTAGAATCTATATGATTATTGCCTTTTATTGTTGTACATGTTTAATGGTATTTAATTATTTAATGCATATGGATATTGGAAGTATTTACGTGCGTTTTTCACCTGATCCTCTTAATTGATTTGTCAAAAATGCCATCTTAAAAAACTCTTGATTAGTTGTGTTGCATATTCTAAAATCAACTCAGTTGTACATTGATTTGATTAAATTGTGGCAAACTGAAAAACATACATGCATTTATTTTGCTAATCATAAAATTCATATGTTTAGAATTCCTTTATTTTGATATTGAACAGGAAAATTCATATGTTAAAAATTACTTTATTTTGATATTGAACAGTTTGCCTTGTGTATTTTTTTCCTACACTTATATTCAATATTCATTTCTATCAGACGTGAGCCTTACTTTGATCAGGCTCATGTTTTACATTGCGCCTTGCGCTTAGGCTCTTATCTTGGTGCCTTAATATGCTGTGAGCCTTTAATAACTATGATTGAGATTATGATGCACTTCTGAGTGACTATCTTTATTTTGTCCATCAAGTGTTGATTTTCCCGCTAAAACCTTCTAGAAACTTTGGCTTTTGTCTATAGCAGCAGCAACAACAACAGCAATCAAGCCTTTTTCCCAACTACTTGGGGTTAGCTACATAAATCCTATATTTCTATTCCGCTCTATGTAAGGTCATAGCCTCAGTCAATTCACATGCTATCATATCCTTCCTTACTAACTCTACCCACATTAACTCGTCTTCCTTTTTGCCAACTTCTTGGGGTTGGCTACATGAATCCCATGTTTCCATTATGGCCTAGCGGTATCAGGCCTTTACTTCCCAAAGGAAGGTCAAGGGTTCAAGCCTCCAAGGGGGCATGTGTGTGTGAGTATCAACTATGAAAAAAAAAAAAAAATTACACATGCTATCATATCCTTACTTACTAACTCTACCCACTTTAGCTTTGGTCTTCCTCTTCCCCTAGTATTACCCTTAATGTGGATTATGTCACTTTTCCTAAGTAGCACACTTAAAGTTCTTCTTTGCACACGTCCAAACAATCTTAACCCATTTTCTTTCATTTTATCTGGAATTTGCGCTACTCCAACCAACTTCCGATTGTGATCAATCTAATTCTATTCTTTCTGGTCTTATCACACATCCATCTCAACATATGCATTTCTGCCACTCACACTTTATGCATATGCTGTTTCCCAGTTTCCCAACATATTGTGCCATAATGTTTGGCTGGACTAATAGTTGTTCGATAGAACTTCCCTTTCAATCATAAGGGGATACACTTATCACACAATATAGATGCACTCCTCCATTTAACCAACCCATCCTGCCTTGATTCTATGATTAATGTTCTCTCCAATTTATCCTTCATTATGAATAATTGAGCCTAACTAGCAAAAATATTCACTTTTTTGTACCTCTTGATTCTCAATCCTTACTACATCCTCATTTTTATTTCTAGATTTACTAAATTTTCACTCCATAAATTCAGTTTTATTTCTACTTATCTTAGACCCTTTTAGTTCTAAAGCTTCTCTCCAAACTTCCAATTTGACTAGTCTCATCCACTAAAACAATATCATCGGCAAATAGCATGCACCATGGAATATCATCTTGGATGTGTCTTGTTAGCTCATCCATTACCAAGGCAAAAAGGTATGGACTTAATGCTGATCCTTGGTGTAAGCATACAGTAATTGGGAATTCAGTTGTTTCCCCTATGGGCGTTCTAACTGGGGGTTTTGTCTATAAACTGCTATTAAGGTACCTGAAGCTAGGTGCTTACCTAATGAACTTCATAATTAGGTTATAAAGTATGATTATTAATGTTCTTTAAGGATCAGAAAAGTAATTTGTTCAGACAGGTAAAGTTTCCTTTCTTCTAGGAAAATACAGATAGAATGTCCACCAGATTAATGAAGCCTTGAGTTTAAGGCTTTAAGCCATAGATGCTACTCAGTACTTTCCTAGGAGATCCTTTGAGATAAATGACATTGAAATTGAAGCCTCATGTTCTGTGCCTTGAGTCTTTTTTTCCCTTTGACCTGCACCTTTAAAAAAATGGATCCAAATTGTATGTTTCAATATTTGGATCACAGCTTGAAACATCTATTGGAAACTTTGTAATTGGTGATCTTTCACCTTTGTAAGAATATCCTGGAACAGTCCACAAATTTTTTCTTCTAATTAGAGTTTTAGAAGAGATTGAAGGCAAAAGAAGTTTTTATACAAACCTGTATGAAAACAGGGATATGGAACAGTTACATCTCTCTCCAGATATACATGATTGAAAGAAATTTCGACAGTAAACAGTTTAGTGTGACTTCACCATAAATGTTACTGCATTATAAAAGCGCTTAACCTATGACAATTTAATTGTTTGAAATAATGTTAACTAAAATTTGAGCATTTCTGTTGGTGATTTTTACGATCAGATTAGAGTCTTTTGATTTAGAAGTTTCTGACCAATCTGCTATTGCTTGTTCCTCTTCTTCTTCTTTATTAATTCTTCTTGTTTCTCATGAGTTGATATCCAGGAGCTTCTGGGATCATTGCGTACAAGATTTGATGCTGCAAAAGAAGCGGTGAATGCAGAGCTGGCTTATTTTGCTGGAGAGTTGATGGAAGTCTTGCGGGAAAACGACTCCCTTTCTCCGGAAGGACAGAAAATGACGCAGGATCTTTTCATTCTTGCTCAAGAATGTACTGAAATGACCTCCTTAGAGTTCCGTGCTAAGTGTGAAACAATTGTCCAAGATTTGACTGAGAAGAGGAAGCAATGCCAAACAGGATTGCTGAAGTGGCTGTTGACACGCATGCTGTTCATATTGACACGTTGCACTAGATTGCTGCATTTTGAGAGAGATAGTGAGCCCATTGATGAGACATCTTTTCATAAATTCAAGAAATTCTTAGAAAGTGTTCCTTCTGTTGAAATGAGCTGGATTCCCAATCCAGGGATTGCTGATTCTGGTCCAGGTTATGCTCTAAGCTTGATTACAGATGCCAAACACGAATTAAGACAAAATCAGGTACAAAATCTTCCTGAAGCAACTTGGTGTAGGTCTGAAGAGCCAGCTGATAAAAGTAACATAATTTCCAGAAAGGATTTCATGGTTATTGAACAGAAGTCGCTCTCTCAAAGTTCCCAAATTGATATGCTTTCAAATGTTCAACGATATCATCAAGTTGATGAGAAATCTCTTGGAGATCCCATAATCAAGTCTAGCTGCGGTTCACTCCACGAGCAGGAACGAAGTTTATCTGATTCAGTAATTTGTAGGATATGTGAGGAAGTTGTTCCTACTTCTCACTTGGAATCTCATTCTTATATATGTGCTTATGCAGATAAGTGTGATTTGAAATGTTCAGATGTAGATGAACGACTTTTAAAACTTACAGAGATGCTGGAACAAATCATAGAGTCACATAATTCAACTGTTAATGCATCATATGACAGCCCTGAGAATCCGGGGATGCGGATTATGAATTCTTCAATTTCATCTGAAGGTTATTCTCCAAAGATAAGTGAGTGGCGAAGTAAAGGTGTGGAAGGGATGTTTGAAGATATTCATGAGATGGACACTGCCTGTATAGATGATTCTCACCTTGCAACCACCATTAACTCGAGGGGTCACTTTGGCATGAAGCTTAGCCACTGTGGTCCACCCTCAACTGGAAGCATGTCATCAGTATCCTCCACAAATACCCCTACGGCAGGACATTTTGACTTCTTCTGGTTAGAGCATAACAATCCTTCTGAGCTTGAAGATGTGCAACAAGTATGTCATCCTGGTGTACATTAGTTTCAAAAGTTCATTTAAAAATAAATAAAAAATAAATTTGTTAGCAAGACAAGTCAAGTTTTTATGCAACTCCAAAAACACAATTAAATAATATTGTTAAATATTTCACATTTAGAACTCAAAAAATTATGACATCTATGTACGAAAGTCAAGCTAAAAAATCAGAAGTGCTCCATGAGTAAGGTTGAATATTAGCTATCCACTTCGGATATGGCCCAGTGGTTTACTCGCTGGACTTTGGAGCTTAGCAAGCCCAAGGCTTGGGGTTTGAGTCCCGCTGGGTGTTCTTTGTGGCTAGTCTCCGCTGCCCTTGCAGTGACTTACCCGGCTCGGGTGGGGAGGCGCCCTTCCGGGTCTTCGGGGATTAGTTAAGTTGTTGAGGGGCCCTAAGGGTTTGTGCCATCCCGGACACCCCGGGTTGATAAAAAAAAAAAGTTTGAATATTAGCTGCTACTAAATGAATCAACATCATGATTATAATGACTACACTGTTAGGTCATCATGATTGTTGGTCAGTTTACTGTCTAGTGTTTGTTTCATTTTTTTTTCTTCATTCTTTATTCCTAAGTTCCTGTGTTATGTCATTAATGATTTATTGATTTCCCTTATGTGTATTCTTCATGTGCTGTGAGAGTTATGCAATCTTTACTCAAGAAAAGCTTTACATCTGTGACAATTGAGTTTTTCTTGCAGATGATCGAACTTGTTGACATTGCTCGCTGTGTGGCAGGCACAGATCTTTCAAAAGAAGGTTCCCATGAGTTTTTACTTGCTTGCATGGAAGACTTGCAGGATGTTTTACAACATAGCAAGCTCAAAGCTCTTATAATAGACACATTTGGAGGTCGAATAGAGAGTCTTCTTCGGTAATTAGTATTTAAGAACTAAGAATGAGAAAAGCTTATAGATGTAACTCTGAAGTGACCCTCATTTTCCCTCCCCTGTTTCTTTACATTCATATGCAGGGAAAAGTTTATACTTGCTTGTGAACTGATGGACGCAAAAACCTTGAATAGCAATGGCAGATTTGCTGAAAGCTCTAAAATTTTGTTGGATAATGCATCTCAGAATAGTTCAACATCAACTCCTTTACATCCCTTGCATAAAGAAAGAACAAGTATTGATGACTTTGAGATTATTAAACCAATTAGCAGAGGTGCTTTTGGTAAAGTCTTTCTGGCGCGAAAGCGAGCAACGGGGGATTTATTTGCGATAAAGGTAACAATTCAATCATTTTTTTTCCTTGGAATAAATGTATTTCAGAATTTTTTTGTGTGGACATCTCTTTTTTGCTCAAATGATACACTTCCACCTGTGAGAATATGATTTTTGTAGTTTTAAATTTCATTAATATATGACAAAGAAGACAATAGAGTAACATGAAAATAAGAGATTGAAATATCTTATAGGGTACGATATATGACATTGGTGCAGTTTGGTTTTTCAGGGTTTTTCTGTTGCTAGTCGAACTTGGGTTTGAGTCCCTGACTCCTCAATCATATGCTGACCGTGGGTTGTTTTCATTTATGCCTTTGGAGTTATTGAGTGTACTAAGAAAGTAGACTAATTTAACACTTATGCTTTTATCTTTTATAAACAAGCATCAAGAATAAATTGATACATGGACAAGGGACTAGATCTACTGCAATTCTGATAAATACATACTTGTGTGTGTACACACACAGATTTGCTATAGTGAACATCAATTAATTAGATTGATTTTCTTTGGTAATTTGGGTTGGTCTCCCTTTTGATAACATGAGTTTCTCTTCTTTGTTTGCTCTCTCTCTCTCTCTCTCTCTCTCATGCAATACTTTTTTTTTCTAGATTTTCAAATTGTTGCCCAAGTAATGACTCGGGGGGGGGGGGGGGGGGGGGGTGGGGGTGTTTGTTAATAGAGTCTTAGCAAACAATGGCCAATTTTCAATTTCAATTGATGTGCAATAGCAAGGCTAATTTCTCTACAATAATTTAACAAAGCAATTTGAAATTTAAGTTACACCTATCAGCAATTATCAAGAGATTAATTCAAATGAACTTGAAGCAATAAATATAAGAGATAAAGAGAGAGATTGCAAACAAGTACTCAGCGATTTTAGCGATGTTCGGAAACTCCTACTCCTCGGCTTAAGACCCCTCTTGAGACTTCCCAATCCACTATGACTTCTTCTTACGGGTAGAGAGCAAACCTTTTACAAGAAGCTCTTCTTTGCTTCTAAGTGCTAAGAGAAACACCTTCTCTTAGTCTTCCTTGGGCCACACCAGCCCTTACAAGATTTGAAGAAGATAGATAAGGTACAAGATGATCTCTCTCAGATCTGAAGTACAAATTTCAGTTCACTCTAGAGTATGTATGAATATATTGAAGCTCAATGATCTTAGAGGACTATGAAGTGTATGAATGATGATTCAGAGACTTTATGATTGCAAAGATATGATTCTCAGTGGTTGCAATGTGTTTTTATGAAGACCACAAGTCATTATATAGAGTTTCAGATGAGTCTGATATGAACTCTAGCTGTTGGACACACAGTTCGAGGTAAAATGGCCATTCAAAATTTGAATCTGCGCTGGTTCAGTCGTCCGAAATAAAATACCATTATGTTTCGGTCGTCCGAAACACCTTCCTCCTTTGTTCCAAAACATTCTGTGAGAATCGGCTCGTCCGATTCATTTGCCTCTTTATTTCGGTCGTTTGAAACACCTAGAGTATTCTTTTCATTAACTCATTTCGGTAAACCGAAATGATTGGGTCCTTTGTTTCGGTAGACCGAAATGACTTAGAAGCTATGATCCAAATTCTTTGATAGAATCGGTTGACCATTTCAAGTGATCCTTCCATATCGGTCGACCGAAATGGAACTTTAATTTTAGGAACATGTTTTGATGATATCAATTTTAGTCTTGTGTTCCTTAAGCTTGATGAATGTGGTCTTTATATGCATGATTATGGATATGTGAGCTTCAAAATGTTCATAATTTCAGGGAGAGATTATAGATCTATGGAGGAAATTATTGTTTTCTTGGCCTCTCTGAAGGTCTAAGGCGCCTCTTGGCCCTTTTGTTTCTTTGGGCTTCGCTCCCCTTTTGAGCGTTTTTGATAAAATCTTACTTATCAAAAAAAAAAAAAAATGTTCATACATGCTTTAACATAGGGTTCTATTCACTCACCAACTTAGCTACCCCTTTTTCATTGGTATTTGCATGATCGTTTGATTGCTTGACTAATCTTGAGATCTTGATTTCTTGGCGACCTTTTCATATATCTTTTATGATGCTCCTTTTCTTTTGAATTTTCCATGTAATGTCTTGACTTGATGAACGCAGATCTGTAATTTGCTCAAGGTAGACATTAGAATACATAGAACATCATTAATGAATTATGATCATCAAAAGCCTTGGATTCAAGGTCAACACAAATTGTTGCTAAATTCGGTACATGCTTTTGCTAGTTATTATTCAGTTGCAGCCAGTAGGATATGAACCTACAGCCAATCTTGTAACAGCTGACTGCTCTACCACTGAACTAATAAAAGTTGGCTGATATATTTCACACTTTTTTTCTTTTAGGAGATAATTAGATAACACTGTCTGAATACTGGTTGCTAATAAACCAGCATGGTGATAGTAGGTAAAAACTAGACTATCAGGTTCTCATGATGTTATAACTTTTGGGTGCAAGGGTCGTTTTGTAAATCTGTGGGAGATATAGTGTATTTTATTGATACTTTGGCAGTATAGAGCATGCTCTTTTGGTTCTTTTTGTTCTTTGGGATGCGCTCCCCTTTTGAGGGCTCGCTAATGAAATTTTACTTATCAAGAAAAAAAAATGCACTTGACCTATGCAAATATTGGTCTATTTTTTATGAGAGTAACAACAGAAACATCTGCTACGCAGTCAAAAAGTTATTCCCAGAGTTGTTTTGTTATATCTTCATGTGGAGGTGGCGATGTTGCTAACAAGTGTTTTTTTATTTATATTTTCCCCCTTTTTCATAGGATTCATGTTCATATGGAGGGTAGCACTAGGGGAAGAAGAGGACCAAAGTTAACATGGGTAGAGTTAGTAAAGAAGAATATGATAGCTTGTGGTTTGACTGAGGCTATGGCCTTAGTGAGCAGAATGGAAACATAGGATTCATGTAGCCGAGCCCAAGTAATTGGGAAAAGGATTGTTGTTGTTGTTGTGATTTTTCCCCTTTTTACTAGGGGGTGGAAACTTGTAATTGTGGATTACCATTATTTAACGCCCCACAATGGCAAATATGTTAATAGAATAGAAAAATGAAACAATAAGACCATCTCCAATGCAAAATGCCATTTTTGTATGCCAAATCTATATTTTGAGAGGAGCTACAGTATCAAAATGCTATATTTTAGCATTTATGCTTCAATGGTATATTTCGTCCAAAATACTATTTTTTGAAACAACTACCATTATTTTTCAACTACCATTTCCAACTACCAATTTTCAACAACCATTTTTTTTTTTTTTGTGAGTGTTTGTATTTTATTTAGCTTATTTGCCTTATTAAAAAAAAAAAAAAAAAAATCATCATCAAATCCAACTGAGTCTTGAAATTTAGGCAACTTTTGGATTAACAGGCACACACACACACACATATATATACAAACACAGACATATATACACACTCATATATACCAACATTGACATATATATATATACACAAACACAACACTAAACTACAAAATCTACAAGAATCAGAAGTTCAAAACCCATATATTTCAGTTTGGCAGAAGCAATAGCAATAGCTATAGTTTGTGCTATATTTGGCACAAGATTTGGCAAAACTATACTTTTGGCAGCCCATTGGAGAGCCCATGTTAAACCCACCTGTTATATTTTGAAATTGGCAGCCCATTAGAGTTGCTCTAAGATGGCAATTTTCGAACAATGAAGTGGGTGGACCAAAAAGGCTTTGGTATTTCTAGTTTGATTTGGAACTTACGGTTATGGAGTTGCATAAAAGGTTTTTGGACTTGTGCTCATAAAAGCTTTGATGAGGAAACAATTTTATGTTTCCCTGTTGATTTCGGATAGGACAGTGAGCTCCCATCCGCATTTTATAACCTTTGTCTGATGAATGCACATGTAACTTGAAAGGATAAATTTAAGAGTGAACAAAGCAAAAAGAAAAGCCTTGTAATCTTTATTGTTCACCGTTTGGCTTTTAATGACCTAGTCTGTTATACATGGCTTCTAATAGGCTTATACGATATTGCATTGGTAAACCTCTTGTTGTCTTGGATTTTGGGGCTAGTAACTTAATAGGATGGATTCATGCAACAAGCTTGGTAATGCAAAATTTGTCCACAACTCCATTTTTTATTCCCACCCATGGTTTACTAGAAAAAGAAGGGCTAACTTAACGTTGCGAAAATGATAAAGAACAGGGTTAAACCATTGAATTCACGAAGAACACACTCACAAGAGAGAAATTGAAATTATATTGATAATAATGATGTCTGAAGACTTTCATCTCTTGCTTGCCTTTATATAGGCAAGTCAAAAATAAAATAAAAATAAAGCATGCGTAAAATAATATTAAAGGGGAAATCTGAGATTTGATGGAGCAGAATCCTCCTTAAATCTTGCAATGAAGAATAATATCTTCTATTGTTGGCTACTACACCAAATCTTCTTATTTATTTACTAAATCCTCCTTAAATCTTGCAATGGAGAATAATATCTTCTATTGTTGGCAACTACACTAAATCTCCTTAAATCTTGCAATGGAGAACAATATCTTCTATTTCCCTTCTTACCGTTTCAGCCTCCTTGATTTGTTGTGATTATGTATACTCAGATACGCATGAGCCAGTTGTTCTACATCAGTCTCCCTTGCGTGAAAAGAACTCGTCCCTGAGTTACCCAAATCTGATGGATAATACGTATGTCAGCCACATTGAAGGTAGAAGAAATAGCCATGTCAGGTAAATCAACCACATAGGCGTTGTTATTGATTTTATTTATAATTTAGTACGGACCATATTTCTTGGCCTTCAGCTTGTTGTATGGTCCCACTGGAAACCTCTCTTTTCTTAGATACACCATAACCAGGTCCTCTTCTTCAAATACTCTTTTCCTTCGTCTCTTGTCAGTTGTAGCCTTGTATTTGGCATAAGTTTCCACTAGATGTTTCTTTACACTCTCCTGAATGGTCTTAATGTGCTCAACCATTTTCTCTGCAGCAACA